GTTGTGCGAGTGCTCTTACTCTGAAAATTATGCAACCATTGTTGTTGCTTGTTAAATCAAGCTGAATATTAGCTGTAAGATCTTATTATGAAATATTTATTTTCTTTAAAAAGATTCTAGTGCAAAACACTTATTACAGTTTTTATAATTGCATCACTTTACTTTCTCCATTTCTTTCCTTTAAAGTCAGGATCAGTTTCCTCTGCTGTCAGTGTGATGAAGAGCAGAGAAAGACTTTGCTGTGTTTCTTCCTGTTTTAATGAGAGTGGAGAAGCGGCTAACCACAGAGGTTTCGTTCACCCTGACAACAGCTCAATAACAGCTCTTCCTAGCACATAAATATCTCTGATTCCTGGTATGTTCCAGGTCCTGGTCTGGGCACCTTAAATCATTCAGCCGGGGACTTGCAGTATCCGTGAATTGAAAGTATTACTGACTAGCATGTGAAGATTCATCCAGGTCATAGGAGATCTGGAAGTGATAAGTGAAAGGCAGCTGTTGTTGAGGAAAACAGTCAAACCCCTGGTGACACAAGATCTGGGGATTTCCAGAATCATGAGGATTCGTCGTCTGGGAGCCATGAATGTCTGTAGACAGCATCCAGTAGACGTTGAGATATTTGACCTGCTACTGGCACCAGTCCTGAGGGTTCATCCTCTGTGGACCACGAACGCCTGTGTTCAATTTTATGTGTCTCTATGTAGGGATGAGGGTCAAAGGTTGTGACCTTTATGCCCCCGAGTGCCTAGCTTTGTACTAGCCAAGAGCAATTAGCAGTCAGTTAAAGATACATAAACAATATAAAGGGCGGATATGAAGCTTTAACTGTGACACACACTCAGACTCTACAGGTTGATTCCTGCTTCCTCACAACTCGTCCGGTGACTCCGGTGACTTTTCTCTGCTGGGAAAGTGGCGTCTCTCTTTTCTCTTTTTCTGTTGTTGTGTCAAGAGTGATTCAGTGCCCTCGCCGCTGCCCCGACTTGTTTCAACACAACAGTGACTTCATCTCACAAGCGTCTTCCCACCGTCCTTGGTCCCTGGCGGGCGTTCAGGCTGAAAGGAAACCGTGTTATTATTGTGTCATTCAGCCGATGACAGCATGTGTGCTTCACAAAAAGAGCAGCTGAGGCCTTAATACTTTTAACCTTTGTCCTCCTGACGGTGAATCCCTCTTTCACGCTTTCCTTCCAGCAAAACAAAAAACGGACAATGAAGCCGAATCCTGAAACAAGTGCAGACAGATAGAGACCGACTGGCTTTTATCTGGTTTATTTTTAATGTTTTAAAACCTTAAAATCTTGTTGTAAGTTCAGTCTTCCAGCAACCAGCTGAAAACGGGGTCATCCCTATGTTCCCCACTAAGGTGAGGGTTAGGGTTAGGGTTCCCCGGTCCCATACAAAGCGGGGAACATAGAACATAGAAACATAGGTACGCTCCCCTGAAAACTGATGGATCAGGTTCATCTCTGTTTGTCTTGTTAGCTTAGCTTAGCACAAAGCTTTGAAGCAGGGAAGAACTGCTATAAATAATCAGCTTTATAAATATACTTTAAAAACAAAGTCTGTAATACAACCTTAAAGTAGCTGAAATACACACAAATGTACAATTGTTATGAATCTTTGCTAATTAAAGAACTTTTCAGATGTTTTTTTAATAAAGATAATGTAGATTTTATTAACATTTTAATTAAAAACTGATTAAGTAAAGTCAGGAACAGGACAGAACATGATAAACGTCACTGTAAGCTAACAACATGTTTAATAGTATAAATTATTATTTTAGTTTTGGTGAAAACAGGGACATTTTATTTATTATTTTACTTTTATTTTAATTATTACTAACTACGTACAGTATATATTTATGTCGTATTCTGTTCCTTAATTTAGGTTAGTATATTAATTAGTGGAACTATTTTATTAATTGATTATTTGTTTATTAACAGTTATTTTTTTAAAGGAAAAATTTCAAATATTTTCTGGTTCCAGCGTCTCAAATGTGACGATTTCCTGTTTCGTCGTTGTCACATATGAAAATAAATTTGATATATTTGGATTGACAACACAATATGAAGACTAAACAATTAATCAATTAACAGAGGCAATAATTGGTTCATCCATTAGTCTTTAGTTTTTTAAGGTTAAAAACAGATAAAAACCACACAAACAATAAAACAGTAATTTTGACTCTGCAGTGAAACATAATATGTTTTAAAGACTTTACATTTACTCCTCCGGTCTCTCTTTACTGAGCTCAGGTGTGTTAATCTGATCCTCCTCCAGGTGCTCAAGGGCACTTTGTCAGCCTTTATCTGGGCAAACGCTCAGTCTCGTCTCTGGTGTCACTTTACGGAGAAACAACAACAGAATAAAACCCGCAGAGGAAGTGAAAGTGTTTCTCCACGTGTTGGTTGTAATTGTCCGGAGAGGCATCGTTACACATTTATACCCCGATACAGACCCGACCGGATGGAGTGGGGTGAGATTTCTGCCCCACCGCAAAGGTTAAACGACACGAGTGAAGAGATTTTGGATAAAACGCAGGAGGAGAAAGCTTTCAACACTCAAACTGCTGACAAACTGTTATTATTTTATATTATTAAACTATTCATTCATTACACTTCGGTCATATACTGGATCATACACATAAATATTGTCATATATTGTATTATAATGTACAAACTTTCTATATTTTCTATTAGATACTGTAATATAAAACCTATTTTAACTTTATTATTATTGTTTGTATTTCTCTGATGTTGTTTAACCCCTTGATACCACTTTGTCACTACATTTCGGATGACAATATTGTGGTTTTTACTACTTTTATCTGTTAATTTTTACATATAAAAACATTATATGATGAACTAACCATTTCTCACTTACTATCCATTAGTGAGAAAGACAGAATAAGATGTTCATTTTATAATAATATAAAATTGTCAAAGAAGACCTTCCGAATAATAAAAGCTTATTTTAAACAATGAAATAAAATATTTTAACTTTTATGTGCGTTAAAGGAAAACTTCTACATGTTTGCGTTTAACGCAACGCTGTAATTACCAGTTGTGGCCACAGGGGGCGCTGTTCAGCAGAAAAACGCTGGCTGCTTTAAATGTGATTCAAACTACTTTTCCAGGAAGCTTTTATTTTGAAAGTCAGCTGTTTCTGCCATCCTTTCTGGGACGTCCTGACACAGCGAGCGCTGCCTGAACAAACACCACCCGGTTTATGACCCCCATCCAGCTGCTCGCCGCCCTTTAAACCGCCACCACCCTTCTTTCATATCCTCTCCGCTCATCCGCAGGAAGGAGGAAACAGGACATTTTCCATTTTAGAGTTGGCCACAAAAAGCTGAACTCAGTTTAAACCTGCAGTGATTGTTTTGGCCACTTGGGGGCAGCAGAAACAACCTGTGAACACACCTTTATAGCCGCTTTAAGGGTTTATCCGATAGTATTGAGTCTTACGGGGGAATGAGCTGATTGCTGGTTGCAACTTGTGATGTTCAGACTGTTTATGTCAGAATATTTACTTGAAAAATAACAGAATTAAATGAAAAATTAACAAAAAATCTAATAAATACGAAGCGATCAGTGATCAGAGATGAGCAGGAATTATAATCACACTGGAAACAAACTCAAGATGATGAATTTTGTCTTTTAAGAACCACTTTTTATCTCTGAATCTCCCAAAAGTGCAGAAAAATTAGACCTTCCCGACTTTCTCTGCTGCCTGTGAACTGATTTATGTGTTTCTATGTCGGCTTTTCTTAGAAAATGATCTCCGCTTCCCTGCAGTGTCCACGATACTAACTCTATGATAAACGCCGTTGATTTTAGCCATAAATGACACAAAGCTAATGATTGCTAACAATTTGAGGCAGGGGCATCCAGCTAGATAACTGTAGCTAAGCTAAGCTGTGGTTGTTCGGCTGGCTGTCTCTCGGCTGTGTGGCGTTGGATCTGGCGTTGGTTGCTTCGTGGTGTCGTTCAGAAGAACATTCATGTAAGTGTGAGAGTTCGGGTTTGTGGCGTCGTCTGTTTAAATAAAGATCAACAGTGTTTGTAATAAACGCTGTGATGTCATGCTGACACGAGATTGACGAACACGTGTGTTTATCCGACAGATAAACGGCGTTCCTCCGGCCGGATCTCGTTTTAAAAGACTGTTTGTTCAGAAAACTGAGGAGGCGGCGATGAGACATCTGTGATACGTGACGAATGTTTCTCATTTAAGCTTTAAGATGTGGAGCAATAACGGCACAGTGGAAAGATACTCATGGAAACGTAAAGACTTCTGTTAGTTTAAAGACATTTTGGGGGAAATGCTGCTTTTTTGTACTGAATTGTCTTTAAATAAAACAGGTTTTTAACCAGCAAGTTACATTTTACAGAGAAAATATCAATAGTGCTGAAACACTGTTGTTATTCTTCTTTTGTCGCCATGTAAAGTGTCTTTTAGTACCTTTTTAAAGTGCTATATATAAAATAAATGTATTATTATTATTAATAAACACTCATGGATTTTTTAATTAGTCAATAAACAGAAAATGAACCTGCAACTATTTTCATAATTGATGATGAAAAATGTAAAATATTCTCAATTTCCAGCCTCTTAATCGTCATTATTGCTGCTTTTCCCTGTTTTTATATAATTATAAACTGAATATTTTATGGTTCTGAACTGGTATCGAAGATGTCCCCTATCAGTAAATGATTAAATGATATAATTGTTAATTGGTTAATTGATAAAGACATGTATTAGCTGCAGACACTAAATTACCTTGCTAATTATATAATTTGCATGTTTACGATGAACCACATACAGTAAGAGACAATATTAATTATTATATTTTGGTTTGTTAAATTGGACGTTCAGATCGTAGAAATCGGGAAGAACTGGGAGCAAACTTTGTGCTCGCTAAACCATATTCCACCGGCCCGTTTTAATGGTATTTCCCAGCGTTTGCTAACTTCCTCGTCTTCTCTCCTCTTCAGGCTGACGGCTCAGAGGAGCATCGAGGACGCCGAGGAGGTGGAGAGGGAACGCCGTCGAAGAGCTCGCGAGGCTACAAGCTGGACGAACGGAGGCTCGCCGCCCGAAGAGTTCTCGCCGGAGAACGAGACGCCGGCAGAGGAGAGCGTGTAAGTCAAACTGTGTCACTGTCCAATTAATAATAATAATAACAATAATGATAATAATAATAATAATAACAATAATGATAATAATAATAATAACATAATAATAATAATAATAATAATAATAATAATACCAATAATAATAATAACAATAATAATAATAATACCAATAATAATAATAATAATAATACCAATAATAATAATAATAATAATAATAATAATAATAATAATAATAATAATAATAATAATAATACATTTTATTGAAACAAAAGTGCATTTCAGGAAGCAATAAAAGAAATAACAACAATCGAAAATCTTTTTTGTGCTTTCAGATGGACACATTAGCTAACTTTATGTATTCTGACAGATGGTGTTGATTTTAACTTACATTAATAAATGATGTAACGGTACAAAAGCTATCGATAGCTTTCTACTAGCCAAGAGTGATGCGAGGCAGGGGCATTCAGCTAGTGCCAGATAACGTTACTCAGTGATTCTTTTAGGATTTAAAGGAAATAACCTGTATCAAGAACTTGCAGATGTACTTTATTTTTAAAACTCATCCATTAACAAAAGACAGTCTTGTTTTACTGGCGCTAACTTTAGTGACACATACTTGGCATTTTGTGTGGCTCTTTCACAATAAAAGCCGTTGGATTTAAGTGGCGTTCGCGGGGTTAACGAGGCTGAAAATCTGGGATTTTAATGCAATTTATCACTTTAATTGTGGAGCAGCAGCAGGAAGTGTTTAGTCTGCGTTAACTTAACGTAACACAGCAAAAATACACACTTGATACAGCTGGTAGAGGAGTTCAGTAGCATCAATAAAATCTACTTTATAGATAAATCCTGAACATAAATAGTATGAAAAATAGGTTTGACTTCATAAAAACTTCAGAATGATTACTTAAATGTACCTGTGTTACCTTTTAATCAGGTTGTATCTCAAATAAAAACACATTTCCAGTTTACATGAACCACGCAAATCAGGATACAGACAAATATCCCATGTTTTGTGTGAAACTTGAAGGCCACTTTCTCCCAATTTATACATAAAGGTAAACAGAAAAGACGCCTGATACTTTATTTGGTTTATCTTTATAAAAAGTTGAATTTCTAACTAATTAAACTGTTGGTATGTTTTATGTTTGAGGACGAAGCATTGTCTGAATCCCTGCAGTGGATTCTTTGTCCGTTCAATCATGGGAACCCAGGAAGTCATTAAGTGCAGAACATTATTCATTCACTCTCCTCGTGTCCGACGACTTCCTGTGCGAGCTGCGTGTTATTTCTCCTGCGTTTAAAGAGTCTGTCGTCATGTTTCCCAGCTGTGAAAACTCGCTCCTCGCTCCCCGTCAGAGCGCTCGCTGGTTAACAGGGTTTCACGGACGTCTGGTTGCATAAAACAAATGTTTCCATTTGGGGGGGGGGGAAGCTGCAAACAACCTCTTCCCTCCTGTCGTGTTTGATGCGAAGGCGAACGCACAGCTGGCTTCTCATTACACAAGCCTCCAAGAATGTTTACTACAAAGCGTCTCCAGGGAAAACCACCGCCACGTCAAAGCCTGTAGCGTTTTAATTTCAGGGTTTTTTAATGACAGCTTACACCTTCTCCTCCGTCACATCAGAGGCTCGGCTCGGTTTCAAGCGGCGGTGACTCGTCACGAGGTCGTTGGTTGCAGTCTGTAATTGAAAAGACGCAGTGGTGAAACAATGCTGCTTTAAAGGCCCTGAAGATTGCTGCATGGTTTCCTGCCTACAAGGTCAGAGGTCAAGTGCTCGCAAGAGTTATAAAACCACTGTGAAATAACATAATTTTAAAAGGGTTTAAATTTTTATTTTATATTTTTTTTTTAAAAATTTAAAATTTGAATTTTATCAGATTAATGTCACTATTTTCAATTTCATTCTGGCTTTATGAAGATGTTGGTTTAACATTCCTGCTGAAAAAAAAGAAAAAAAAAAGAAAAACCTGAAAAAAAAAAAAAGCAAAATTATGAGATATAAACTCTAATCTGTAACATTTCCTCATTAAACAGTGTATAAACTCTATGTTGTGTCCTTACATTATCTCAAATGTTTCCAATATTGTATCCTCCACCTGCCTCAACGCCGCCCCCTGTGGTTGTTATTGATTATTAACATTATGTTTAAAACTACAACAAAGATGGCACAACTTCCAGATTATTTACATGTAGCTGTTACACCTGGAAACTGCTCAGAGCTGGAGCCAGGACATGGTTAGTTAGCCTAGCGTAGCATAAGCAGGGAAAGTTGAAAAGACACTTACAAATGCCTCTTAAGCTCATTAAATAACACCCTGTATCTTATTTATTTAACAGAAATATGGGTCACAGTTTGTTGTTAAGTTATATGTTGCAGCTAAAGTAGAAGACAAAAAATAAAAAGCTTTGTTTTATGCAAAAATGTCAACTTAAATAATGTATACTACAGTCTACAGCGTATATGCTATTATATACTAACTGTTGGTGTAAGAGGAGGATGTTTCTCGTCATCACAAACCTCGACTGACTCACTCCTGCCAGGAATCCATCCAGGTGTCGACTTTCCAGCCGACACTCATAAGCATTGCCGCTCGTTAAGGCTGATCAGCTGCTGAGAGATCAGGCTGAGACTCCCATCATGCATTTGGAGCTAGGGGGGGCTCCGGTCCCCCGGATCCCAGGCGTCTTAATCATCTCGGGAATGCTGAGTGAATTCCTTCCTTCCAGCTCCTGGGAACACAAAACACACTTTGATTACTTTCATTCAGCAGAGGAGGAGGAGAGACACTGTGCTAATTCTGATGATAGGTTTACTTAATTAAACATTTAATTAATATTCAATACGTGGATAAAAGTGTGATTCGAACAAATAACAATCAAATTAGAACATATATTCCAATCCTGGCAGTAGATCCTCCTCAATGTCTACACATCTTTAATGGACCTTTTTTTGGTTTCAGTCAAGCAAATCTGAGTGTTTAGTTGATTATCGTATCATTGTTTAGATCAAGTCTGAAGATATTTTATTGTCTTTATCCGTCTTATTTTGTTGATTTTCACACCAAACTGTAGTTATGTTCATCAAATTCACCAAAAGTATTCTGTGTGAAACCTCGAACACTGGCTGCTGATTCACATAAGTTTATTATAATAACAATTTCCTTTCCCGTCTCGTTCTCAGGTACGACGGCGACCTGAAGCCGAGAAGCTCCCCGTCTCTGGAGGAGGACGAAGGCTTCAGTGACTGGACTCAACGCCGAGAACGACGGAGGCAGCAGCGCCTGCAGGAGCTCAACCGGGGAGGCGAGGAGGACGAGGACGAAGAGGAGGTCACCCTAAACAAAGCTGTGCCCGTGAAGGCCGTCCAGGCCTCGGTCACGTCCTCCAGCCAACTCCGGAGACAAGAGCAGGAAGAGGTGGAGAGGAGGGAGATGGAGAGGAGGAAGGAACGTGAGGAGGAGGTGATTCGAGCTGAGAGGGTGAGGAGGGAGAAAGAGAGGGAGGAAGAGGAGGATAAGAAGAAGAGAGAGGAGGTGACGACCAGGAGGAGGGAGGAGATTCAAAGGCGGAATACAGAGGTAAGGCTCCTCACCGAACGAGTCAATTTCAAGTTATTTAAGTCCAAGTATCCTTATTTGAGACAGGTCTAAGTCAAGTCTAAAGTAATTCAGCACAAGTCTGTTATCAAGTCTCAAGTTATTCCAGACTAAGCCTTAAGGTCTAAGTCAGGTCTCCAGTTATTTGAAACAAGTACATCCCAAGTGATTCAAAACAAGTCTGAAGTCAAGTCTCAAGATCTTTAGGGTAAGTCCAAGTCAAGTCTCGAGGCATTTGAGACAAGTCCAAGTTAATTCCAAGTTATTTAAGTACAGGTAAGTAGATGAGACAGGTTAAAGTCAAGTCTTAATACGACACAAATCTGTTGTCAAGTCTCAAGTTATTCAAGACGTCCAAGTCGAGTTTTAAATAATTCAAGCAAAGTTATTAATAACAAGTCAAAGTCAATGTCAGACAAGACCTTAGTCCTTTGAGACGAGTCAAAGAAAAGACCAGGTCAGGTCTCAAGTCATTCAAAACAAGTGTCGAGTCAAGTCGCGAGACCTTTAGGGTCCAAGTCAAGTCTCTGGGCATTTGAGATGAGTCCCAGTCCCATTGAATTACCGTAGACTACATAATTTAAATATTAAGTTTTGTAGTCTATGGTAATTCAACGCAAGTCCAATTGTAATTTCAAGTCATTTTAGACTTGACTTCTAGACAAGTGTAAAATCTAGGTCTCAAGATCCTCAAGTTTCAAAAATACTTTGAGACTGGACCAAGTCGTATTTTTTTTATTTTTTTTTGTTATTTGAGAAAAGACGCTCTGTTGTGTTGAACCTTTCCTGTTCAGGTGGAGAAAAGAAAAGACGTTAAAATCTCCTACACATCCAAGGTTTTCCTTCATCAAGAGCCGAAACTCAACAACGCCAATGGAGACACAACCAATGAGGAAGTGACAGCATACAAGAGCAACAAGACAAAAAGGACCACCAGGTGTGTTGTGTGTTTTATTGACCTTTTATTTAACCTTAATCAGCGACAAATAACCATTTATCTGAATATTCAGTTTCAGAAAGAACTTTGCTCTCCTTACTCAGGACTTCCCCTGGTGATATAGTTATGTAAACTTGTGTGTCGTCTGCATAGAAATGGTAACATGTTTTGTTGTTTTCCATAATCTGAGCTAGTTGGAGCATGTAGATGTTGAACAGAAGAGGCCCCAGAATGGAGCCTTGGGGAACTCCACAGGTTTTTTTTGTACATTGTTCAAGTGATAGTTAGCTGACATTGTAATTATCTTAATGTAGTTATTGAGAGTCCATGACTACACCAAGATGTTTGCCTTGGTTTGTGGTTTTTAACGTTACAGATTGAAGCTGTGCGCTGGCCTTTTAATAGTTGCTCCAAAAACAAGTAAACAAGTAAATCTTTGTTTAATCCACGAACATTCTGGCACATTCAATCATTGATTTGTTCAGTGCATTTACTCAGGATTTGTTTGGGATTATAGTCTCCTGCTCATACGGTTATGTAAATTTGTGTGTCGTCTACATAGTTATGGTAACATATTTGTTGTTTTCCATAATCTGAGCTAGTTGGAACATGTAGATGTTGAACAGAAGAGGAGTGGAGACTTGGGGAACTCCACAGGTAATTTTTGTCCTTTAAGCAGGATTCAAACCAGTTTATTACTGTGCCAGAAAATCCCACCCAGTTTTCCTCTTGGTTTAGTAATGTGTTGCTGGCATCCAATAATACAAAGGATGTCTGTACCTTAACAAAAGCATCAAAACACTTGTTTCACAGCAAAATAAAGTGTCAAATGTTCATAAAAATTCTCCATTGTTGATCCAGTTACACCGCTAAATACCTCACTGACGAGCTCAGGTCGTGAAGTTGCCACAGTATCACATAGGCAGTTTGTTTTGGCAGTACATAGCAGACTAACAGACTCAGTTCAGGTCAATAATAAAAGCAGCTAATATTTAAAAACCTCCCTCTGGTGATGTGTATCAGAGCCGTGGAGCCAGAGGAGGCGGAGGCCATCCTGGAGACGGAGCAACGTCTGGAGAAGATCCGGCAGGGCCTCCAGCAGAAGGAGAGCCAGGAGCTGGAGCAGCTGAGACACCGACAGGCCGAGGCCGAGCAGGAGCTGGAGGAGCTGAAGAGGAGGAGAGAGGAGAGACGTCGAGTCCGGGTGGAAGAGGAGCGTCGGAGGGAGGCGGAGGAGCAACAACGGCTGGCCAAAGAGGAGGTGACCACATACGTCAGTCAAGTAATAAAATATTAAGATAAGGTATTAACACAACTGCAATAAGGAAACTTCCACCAGTTAAACAGGTTTATGTTGAGTGAAACTAAAACTAAAGCATCCTCTGGAGTCATATTGTCTGTAAAAAATGTCATTGGCTGGAGTTTATGAGCCACAGTGGCCTGTTGAAGATAATCTCCCTTATTTTGTTAAAGCTCCGGCAAATCCCCAAAAAACAGGATACTCCGGTACTTTCAAACTAGCCTCAAAACATTGAGCTTGAGTGCTGTATTTTTCTGAAGCTATAAGAAAATCCGGATAGTGAGTGGGAATTATTGGGTCTCTCTGAGTCCAGTGGTGCTTTTATATAAAAATAAAATAGAATTGAACTAAATTCAGTCTTTAACCAAAAGTCCTCAGTAGTAAAACTCTAAATTAATAAATATTTTTACATCAACAATAAATGACAACATATAAGTCTATCGAACTTTTTTGCCTCTTTCAGCTCATGGTTTTAGTTTTATAACAAATGAGGGTCTTTTTCCAAAAATCAGGTTTTAACAAATTTGAATTCTTCGATTGATTTCGAACAAATGATTTCAAAACACGCGAACGAGGGGTTTAGGATAAGACATTAGCTCTTACCGCACCAATGGGCCATATATCCTTACATATAAATCTTTCTATATTATCTGTGGTGGGATTTCTGCTCTTATAGACTTATTTTGAATTCGAACAGGTCATTAAACTTAACAGCCCTACAACAGACGCAGGTCTAATGTGATGGCACTGCTGCTCTGCGTCTGCTGGATGCCAACTGTTTGCTAGCATGTAAGCTAAAAGGAGCTTTTAAGAAGATAACATAGCAGAGATGAGCATTTTCTAGCTAGATGTGGAGTTATTGTGCCCTCTAGTCCCCTGGTGATATGGTAATGTAAACCTGTGTGTCATCTGTATAATTATGGTAACACATATTCTGTTGTTTTCTATAATCTGAGCTAGTTGGAGCATGTAGATGTTGAAAAAAGAAGAGGCCCCAGAATGGAGCCTTGGGGAACTCCGTTATAGTTGTTGGGTCAACTGAAGATACATAAACAAAAAAGATTATTTTAGCTGGTAAATTGAAACAATAATGTCCAGATAGTGTTAAGAAGCTTGTTTCTGTAGTATTTTGAGATAACGAGACCCAGATGTGGAGCTCTGAACGGTGTTTGTGACTCCCAGGAGGAGAGGACGCGAATGAAGGAGGACATCGAGAGGAGGAGGATGGAGGCAGCAGAGAGGATGAAGAGTCTGAGTACGTCCGGCGTGGACGGAGACGAAATGTTCAGTCCCTTCAGTCCCAAAGCTCCCACACACAAGGTAAATATCACCTGCCGCCTCCTCTGCTGGGGAGGCTTTTATTTCCTAACACAGCGTTCACACTGCAGGCGGGAAGCCGAAGAGGGAAAGTCCTAAAGTAAAAGTGGTTTCTGTGATCTTTAAAGTAAGAGCGTCCTTTATTGTGAATGTTTGGAATATATTTGACCACAAAGTGACAGCAGAAGACGAATTAATTCGATTTCACTTTGAATTTCTACTAAAAAGTGGCACCCATCAATAAAAAGCCCAACAAACAAATCTGTTTAGTATGTTTAAAATGACAGTTACTCCAAAAAACAGCGTCTTCCAGTAACACTTTATCTGTATAGTCTACATACAGGTAGTTTATTCTAACATTTGTGCTTTGTCTGTAGATTATCTATAAAGCTGGGATCTAGAGGGGCAGCTGCCACCTCAGTTTGGTATCAAATGCTGTTAAATTTAACACATTAAATTTAAATAAATCTTTAAAAATATTAATAGTTCACTCCAGTGCTTCCCAACCTTCTTCACTTAAGGGACCCTATTTCTATAATTCAGTAAACTGAAAGCATCAGAGATAAGTTTTCGTGATATTTTTAGGGGAACTTTTTGTGTGTTGGGTTTTTTTTTTCATCATAAGACTATTTTATTGTTTTATTGCTATTTGGTTGTTTAAACTGCGTACATTTATAATGCAGGATAAGGCTGTTCAAGGTTTAGATCTAAACTTTAAAAATATAAATAAAGAAAATATATTTTGTAGGTTTTTGTCTGAGAAATAAAAGAATGTTTTTCAGTCGTAATTTGTCTTTAATCCCATTTTGTTTAAAAAAATTGTGATATTTTGAATTATAGTAGTATCCTGAGCTGAATTATTTGTTTCACACTAACTTGTAGTAAAGAGGGATTTTATAAACAGCTGGTGAAACTATCTGGATAAACAGGTCTTCACTGTGTCTTTGTGTGAGCTGTCCTTCGACGTGGTCATCCATTAGCCGACAGTAACCAGTGCAGATTACTGTGTAGGATGATGTCACTGTAAACAAACTCAGTGACAGATAACTATGTGTTACCTTCACAGCCGATGCGTTCAGGCTCAGATTGTAAGTTACATGTTTGTGTTTGTTTGTGTGGGAGAAGCATGTTGTTATCAGAGCACTGATACTTGAAGTGGTTTTGTTGTGAGAGTTTGTTCAGCGGACTTTGCGGACAACAGATGTTTGTTTTGAGATGAGAAAAACCAAATCAGGAAATTAGCTGTTTCCCCGCTACGATTTATAAATATGACGTTTTACAAATGTTTCGTTTTTTGTTTCTTATTTTCAAAACAAAAAATGGAAAATAGCTTGTTTCCCAGTGTTTGGTTTTCTCTTTTTAAAACAAAAATGTGGCGGCTGCAGAGTTCACTCAGAGATTTGTTCCAGCTGCATCCTGCAGTACTTTACTGTTAAACACAGAGCCAACAAAGTCCTGGAGAATTAGATTGATTACATTTTATTATCTTGAAACAGACTTTGAATTAACTAAATCTCTAAATTCCGCTTCCTCTCTCCCAGCAGTGAGTCTCTGGGCTGTCGAGCTAACCTAGAAGCTGCGGTCCACTGGACCTTTGATAGTCACTAGAAGCACATTCGTGGCTGTTTGCTCAGAGAGGCTAACCCTCCGGAGTGTTTTGGGAGAGCGTCAGGCTACGGCTACGTAGCACGCCACAGTTTGCAGATGGGGATTTAATACTTAATACCTCAAAGAGTCTTTAAAGAGAAGCAAAAATAAATTTTCGGGACTTTGCGACCTCTGTATTTGGATGTTAAATCAATTATGTTTTGTTGACGTGCATGACACTGCATGTGAGTTCTGCACCGTATAGTCTTTCTGCTCATCGAATTCAACGTTTACAGACAGAATTGACTTTTCCTAAGCCCCGCCCCTTTTTGTTCTGTGCTCCAATAACAGTTGAGCAAACTTAGGTCAACTTCCTCCTTTCCATTTTGTTAAAAGTAGCTAACATTAGTGATCCTAAAATGTGACGATATATATATAATAAATATCTAATAATCTAATATATTTAACACTTTTATCTTTTGCCATTTTCAAAATGTGGTTGATTTTTCAACATAGATTAGCTTAGCATGTAGCATATGGTGACCCTAAAACTAATATAATAATAATAATTTCATCCTCAGTTATATTGTTCCTCTATTTAACAGTTTATGACCAAACAGTCCGTTAGCTTGTACATTTATTATTATTTATATCAAATCACAGAAACACTTAAAGAGGATTAAAGTTATAATACAGTCTCATGTTTCCCATCATGCTCTGCTCGCTCTGAACTGAGCCGTAATATTTAACTCCTGAACCGAGAAAGACTTCTTCTTCTTCTTCTTTCAGATCACAGAGAGAACGGAGTCGCTGAACCGCTCGCTGAAGAAAAGGTGAATATCCTGATCAATATCCTGATCAATATCAATATCCTGATCACTATCCTGATCAATATCAATATCCTGATCACTATGTGATTGTTTTTAATGGTAACAGGTGGAAATATTCTGGATTTGTGCTTCGTTGTAGAAACATTTACATCAAAGTTCAGCCTGAAATATTTTAGCAGTTAGCGTGTAAGAACAACTTCCACAGTTCGTGACATCATCAGGTGGCTCTTAAAAAGTGGGCGTCGCCCTCAGGCAAGATGATGAGTGAGGTTCCCCCCCCCTCGCTGGGAAGGAATGACATCATCCGGTATCAGGAGCTCCTGTCTGAGGTTGAGTTATGTGCGGCTCTGTCACGTGACTTCTCCAACATTTTAGTTTTAATTTAAACTGAAAACATAATTCTTTATTATAAAACATTAATAAATTAGAAACATATTTAATGAAATTTCACAGATTTTACAACGTAAGATTGAATAAAATCAGAATTAACTTTATTTTTGCACAACAAGTTTATTTTGGTTCAGAAACAATAAATATAAAATAGAAATTTACAATTAAAAAAAGTTAAAAATACCGTGTTAAATATCTGTTTATGTTCTCTGCATAAAGAATATCTGCAAAAACAATAATCCAAAGATTTGATGTGGAGACTTTAACATCAATATTTAAGAATCTAACTATATATTATTAAAATTACAAACATAAACAGTAACACAGATTTATTTAAATCCTAGTGAAGGAAAACAAAAACAGCAGGCTGAATTTAGGAGAAATTAAACACATATTTAATATACTTCCATAAAAATCATGACGTTTTTATTCACATTGTAATATTTGATATAAGATGATTGACAATATAAACTTAAAGTTAAATAAAGAAAGTAAATAATCTGGTTGTGTTTTGTTTTTATCAGTAACAGTTTTAAGAAGACGCAGCCGCTCGTCCTGCTGCCGAAGATCGACGATAAGATGGAGCAGTACGCCCACGCCGTGGAGGTCAGCACGCACACACACACACACACACACACACACACACACTAACACACCTGTGACTCATCCAGCTGTTCTCAGTCTGAGCACAGCGCCACCCGGAGGCTGCAGGGATCATTACAACCAACGGGTGGAACAACCTTTCTGAAGTTTGATCAGTTGTTTTGTCCAGAACCTTCAGTAAATAAAGAAACTGTCATTTTTACACAAACAGATGAGTTTTAGAGTTTAGGAATCAAAATGTGTTCAGGAAATGTGGAAATCAGCCTTAATACATCATGTATGTTAACATTCGTATATTCACATACTGATCAACTGTTCATATATACAGCACCTGGTATGGAGGTTTAAAGCTAATTTTTCTGTTCAAGAGCTCATCATGTACAGCAAAATTTAAATGTTAAAGTCTAGTTTCCACTTTCCTGTTTCAAATTTAAAGAAAATGTGTCAAAATGTTTTTTTCAGAAAATTAAAAAATCAGCTTTAATAAATTAGTTTACTTTTTTTTATAGTGTTATCCCAGTTTTCCCATAGCCAGTTGGCTAAGATTAAAATATTGTTTATTCACACATCGATTAACTTTATTCATATATAAATCGTTTATAAAAGTACAGAAGTCCAAAGATGCCAATTAGCCAATTATGTTTCTGATTGTGTGCACATGATGTACAGCAAAATGTTTCAGAAAATATTCTTAAGAGAAACTAATATATAGTCTGAAACAAGTTGAAATGTTCCTGCTGCGTCTGCTGTATTTTATCACTTTTTTAAAGAAAAATATGGAAGCCCTGAGATGGAAAATAAAAAAATCATAAACACAGGAGAGAAAACATATCACGGGATTTTTTTTTTCTCACTTGCCACTCAGGGCTTCCGTAGAAATTCTGTTTTTAGGTCTAGAAAGGAATTACATGATAAAATTTTAGATTTAATTCTAATTTTATCCTTAATATATAATAAGTTTTACACAACAGAAGTGTGTAGTTACTCTCTGTCCAATCAGAACATTATGAGGTTGTCATATGACCACATTACTGCACACTAACACACGATCGTTGTTGTTGTTGTTGTTGTTGTTGTGGTGCAGAACTCCCAGGAGGCCCGGACAGTGAAGGCATCACTGACCGACCTGCCCAGCTCGCCCGAGGTCGTAGCCTCCAAGAAGAACCTGTTTGAGGCCGGAGATGCCTGGAGCCACCAGAGTCCCGCCAAGGGAGCGACCTGCAAGGTGAGAACGCCTCCTCAGAGGGTTAAAGATATCCGACTGTGGCGATAAAATATCTGTTAACTGTTCGTACTTTCTCCGTATCAGGACACTGAGGGGTTGAAGGTGGGCGTGGCCAACCTGATCACTCAGTGGGTGAAGGGTCCGTCCGACGGCGGCAGGCTGTCGGCCGGCAGACCGGCAGTAAGTCACCAACGTTTGAATCTTAATGCCAAAATAAAACTCTCTAAAGTTTTTGTTTGGTTTTACAGAAACTATTTTATGTCCAATTAATGTTATTAAGAACTTACATTAGGAACCTGAAGTGTCTTGTGATGTGTTCAGGTGCAGCTTAAAAAAGTTAGTTATGTGAGGTTTCCCTCTTGTGGAGAAACAGGATACAACAATGAACAAAACAGCTTCTTCATTTTGCTGTGAAAAGTTTATCTTAATTTGAAAAATCTTAAATAAAGCGAAAAGATAATTAATAGAAAGAATTTTTAATTCTGAAAGTGTTTTTTATTGAGTTTATAATGTTTTTACATGTTGCTGCTTTGCAATAAAAGTTAATATTTTAAACTTTGTGAAAGCAAAGCTGCTTTCACAATGTGCTGGAACTATATCTTGACCGCAGTGTATCCATCCGCCCACTGTGGCGACACAGGAAGCTGCACACACATCAGACTGTTGTTCAACAAGAAATAGTTCCTGCACCTAACTCACCTTGAAACCACAAACAAACAAACAAACAAACAAACAAACAACGTGTTAATAAGTTAATTTTAGAGATGCTGATTGGTGCATTTATGAACTGGGTGGAGCCAAGCTAGCTGTTTCCCCTGCTTCCAGTCTTTATGCTAAGCTACGCTAACCGCCTCCTGATTGACTAAACAATTGTTACTTGTTCCTTTTAAAATTGACCCTGTTTGTATTGATTATCGATTGATTTGTCAGGATGTGAAGCCTGGAGATGTGATGCAGAAGAAGAACATGTGGGAGGAGATTGTGGACTCATCAGGGCGACCCGGACAAAGAACCAAAGTGAGCACAAACACAGATAAACCAGCTTAGCTACAGTTTGGTGGGTGTCGGTTGTTTGTAGACGCAAAGCAGACTCCATTTATAAGCTAACATGAACCATTATTATTGAAAACATATGAAATAGTGAAGTTAATAAAACAGCTTTTTACTGTAAAATGTGACAGGATGATTAAACTTTGTCTTTTTCTCTCTTCAGGGTTCAGCTGCCGGTAAAAAGTACAAATTTGTCATCACTGGTCACGGAAAATACGAGAAGATCCCCGTGGATGACGAGGACGGCGAGTTCACTAACGGAAAGTCTGGTAAGAAGAAAGAAAGTTTAATTTATACATTAAAATCCTTTAAAAAATAAATTTCTCCTTCTACCTTATTAAGAATTATGCAAATGTGTTTGTCACTTTAATGAAAGGAGGAAGTTGATCGAGGTTTTTTACTCGACTGTTATTGGAGCACAGAGCAAAAAAAGGGGCGGGGCTTAGGAAAGGCTCAGTTCCCTTTTCTCGTAAGTAAAGAGTGTTCAAACATTAGAAAACAATAAAGTCAAAGAGGGAAACTGCACATTTATTCTGAGAGTCACAGAAAATCTACATTTAATCCAGCACACGCATCACAAATCATTAGAAAGAACAATAGAAAACAAACATTCAGAAATAAAACTAGAAGAATAAAGTTTGGATTGGCTGTTTGTGTCTCTCGACCTTTGACCCCACGGTTCACTACCCCACCGTCCTCCATCATGGCGGACGCTGCTCTTCATTGTTCTTCTCTAACAACTTACAGAAGCTTTTAGCTCAGCGGCCATCTTGAAGTCACAATGAAATCAAACATTTCGTTATTGTTATTATTAATGTCAGATTGGATTCCCCTTGAAATCAATGAAACGACGCGTTAGAAATACTAAAGCTTCATGACTTCTTGACTCGAGTTCATTGCTGTTGCTTTAACTTGTTTAAGCTCAACCGTAGCTATTAAAATAGTGCACATTAGTAATCAGATGTAACTAGCTACCTAATAACATTAGTTATTAGATAAACGGTTAAAAGATAAAGGTGGCATATATACAGTCACATCTTAAGTTAGCTAATGTTAGCAAAACTAGATTAAGATGTGACTATATATATATATATTTAGCTTATATCTTTTAACCATCTTCAAAATGTGGTTGTCTTTTAAACACAGATTAGCGTAGCATGTAGCATATCTAAGTACAGGAAAGGAGGAAGTTGCCCGAGGTTCCAAAAAGGGGCGGGACTCTTTATGTTGTACGTACAACCCGATCTCACTCCCAACTCGTCAAATACTGCAGCTTGTGTCAGTATTTTACTCTCCGCCTCCGAATCCCAAATGTAACGCTGTAGGTTTCCCTCAGGCGCCACTTCTGGACGCGCCCGCCGTCAAAGTCATGTGACGTAGAATAAATATAGAGAGGAAAGATGGTGGAATGAATGTTTGTGTCCCGTTTGAGACCAAAAACGTGTTTGAAGTGTGTTCACGTACGTTACATAAGATACATTTCATACTAAAGTTACGTGTCAGGTACGTAATTGACGACCTTTTCCTGATCCTAAGCAAGCAGGTAAACTTAACGAAACCACACAGTTTTTGTTATTGGTGACTTAACCGAACATGTTATTGTTGCTAACTTGACCGCAGAGCTCTGTGCGTCCAGAAATTACGCCTGAGGGAAACTTACAGCGTCTTACGAAAGGACGAAAAGAGGCTTTCAAATTGACTGAAACTCAATATTAGGAAGATCTGATGGGTGTTTTCCCTTTAATTGAAATGAATATGCTCTTAAAATGTTGTTTCGTTGTGACTTTAAGACGGTTCAATCACAAAACACGAACCATCTACAGCCTAAAAAGATCCTGTTACACTCTACGTTACACATCCATTATCTAGTGAGAGGTCTCACCCTGAGGCAAGTAGCACCATTTTGAATAGAACTGGATATTTGAATGATTGTCACATAAGAGAAACAGAATTTTCACATGTGATTTGTCTTAAAATCATTAAGTTTTTCAATTCTGTCCATAAAAATACAGATATTTGTATGAAATATCTGTAAATTATCCACTAGAAGCAACTTTCAAGCATAAATAACTAAATCTAAATAATAACAATCACAGTCTCGGTTTCACAGACAGATTTCCTTTACAAGAACCAAATGTTTTAAACTCTATATTTAATCTATATTTATTGTGAACATGTGCTGAAAGGAACAAATGAGAAGCTCCGAAATTACTTAAAACATAAACGCTTTAATCCGATGTGACGATCTGAATGACTTTAAGACAAATGTAACTCTCTTGCTTTTCCAGCTAAATCCACAAATACAAACATCCAGACAACCAGTCACGCAAAAGAAAAGCAACACAAAGCTTTTTGTCAAGTATAAAGTTCAAGCCGAGTTTTCTACATTTGTTAAACACAGAGACTAAGAATCCAGACCTGTACATTATTTCTGTTGCTAAGATTTCTACACCTGTACATTAAACATATAGTCATAACTTTTTTTTCTTTACATTTTCGTCTTGGCACTTTATATTATATATATTATAGTAGCTTAAGTAGCAGTGAACCCCCTTGCCTTTCTGTTAAAGTCTTTTGGTTCCTCTTCTTTACCTTTCCGCCCAATCAGACCCATTTCAAAAACTGTTGATATTTTCGTCACCGGCCTCGAGGCTGCCTCTTTGAGCCTTTTCGCGTCAAACTTTGGACTAAAGAGCAGCACCGGCAGCCGGAACGCAAACGAAGGTATCTCTTTCATCTCGTCTATCGTCTCTTCCTTCTTCTCCACCTCGCTTTTGTTTAACTCGATCTGGTGCATGATGTTCTCTTTGGTGGAGAACATCTGGAAGAGGACGGCGTCCCACATTTTCGTTGCCTTGGGAGCGTCTTTGGTTTGGTTCTCGTCCGTAAGAGCGTCAGGAGCGTCGCTGGCCTTCTCATCTGCCTTTTTCACCTCGCTCTGGTCCTGCTCGGTGGCCTCCTTCTGAGAGCCAATCTCTGGAAACTTGGGCTCCTCCTGTTCCACCACCATGTGCTTCTTGAGTCGGGACCAACCGCTCAATTTAGATTTCATCCCTTTCGGCTTTTGCATGGCTTTAAGAAGTGGCTCGGCTGCTGGTAGGGATTCATCACCTTCCTTTTTTTGAGGTGCAGGTTTGTCTTTTCCTTTGTCTTCACTTCCTGTTGACTCAACAGCAGAAGCCTTAACAGGCAAAGCAGGCGCTGCGGTGGTTGTCTTTGAGGCTTCGGCTTTAGTCTTGGTGGCAGCTGCAGGTTTCACCAGCTCTTTTTGATCTGACACCACAGCTGATTTCTGCTCGGCAGTCTGGACTTTGTCTTTGCCTAAAAGTTTTCTCACTGACTTCAAAGGATCCTGGTCGTCACCTTTGGGCAGAGGATGTTTGACTTCAGGAGTTTTCGTCTTTGGTTTGGCGACTTCTTGAACCTTAGTTTCAACCTTCTGTTTCTCAGGAGCTTTCACCACCGCTGTTGGAGGTTTAACCTTTGGTGTTTCTCGAATCACAGTTTTATCTTGTTTTGCTGCAACCTGACTGGAGACCGTCTCTTGTGTTCCTGGGGTGTCAGATGCTTGCGAAACAATAATAATCGGGATCGAGGGCATGGAGGCAACTTTCATATCTCTCAGCTGGGGTTTATCAATGTCTTTGAGGGTTTCTTTGACTTTGGACACCTCTGCTGTAGATTCCCCCTTCGCAGACGGTTCTTGGATGGGTGTTTTACATTCTGCTGATTCCTCTTTTGCAACCTCTTCTTCAGTTTGCGTCTTAGAACTGATGACACCAAATGCTGGAGAGAACGTTTTGATTCCACCATAAGCAGCATATTCAGCCGGTGTCAATCCGCGGTAGCCAGACTTTGGTTTTTGAGCCACCTTGGTTGGAGTTTTAGGTCTCTGAAAGGCTACAGGTGATACACCAGAAGGCGATGTCCCATATGTTGGTGTCTTTGGTCTTTTATAGCCAGGTGATGTGGTCATAAGTCTGGATGCCTCGTATGTTGGAGTCTTAGGCCTCTGATAGTCGTGAGAAGTCACTGCTGGTGGCTCAATTGTAGGAGCTTTGGAGAGCCTTTGAGAACCAGCTGGAGTAGTTGGGATCTTTTCTCTTGTCAGATCAGGCTCTGATTTTGACTTTGCAATACTTTTTTGGACTGGTTTAGCTGCCGGCGTCAAGTCTAAATGAATGTCCCCATTCGGTATTGCCTCAGTAGGCTTCGGGTGAGTAGCCGTCACACTTTGTGGAACAGAGGAACTGCTCACAGGAGAAACTGTTTTGGGCGTTCTAGACCTCTCTGGCTCGACTGTGATTGGCGATACCGCAAACAAGAGAGGATTGGGTCTTGAGATTTCAAACACGGGCGTAGCAGCCCGACCCTTATTGTAGCCCGGAGTTCTAGGCCGTCCTGCTGAAGCTCTTGATTGGAACTCATAAGTTGGTGTTTTAACTCTGAATTCAGATGTTGGAGTAGCTCTTTTAACTTCAGATGTTGGAGTAGCTCTTTTAACTTCAGATGTTGGAGTTGCTCTTTTGACTTCAGATGTTGGAGTTGCTCTTTTGACTTCAGATGTTGGAGTAGCTCTTTTGACTTCAGATGTTGGAGTTGCTCTTTTGACTTCAGATGTTGGAGTAGCTCTTTTGACTTCAGATGTTGGAGTTGCTCTTTTGACTTCAGGTGTTGGAGTAGCTCTTTTGACTTCAGATGCAGGAGTTGCGATTGCATTTATCTCTGCAGTTGGTGTAGTGCCTCTTTTAGGTTCTAAAGTCGGTGTTCTTCTCTGGCGATCTGTGCCCAACAAAGGAGTCAGATCTTGTTTCGTTTCTGTTGATGTTTTACTTTGAGGCGCTGTGCTGCCGATCGCAGTTAATCCAGCCGAGTCATACACCGGTGGTGTCCTTGACGTCTCGTAGTACGATGTGCTCGCCGTGTACATCCTAATCTGAGGGACGTCAAACATCGGTCTGGGCGATCTTGAACGTTCGGTTGCTTTGAATGTTGGACGTGGACTTTTGGATTTGACAAGCGGAGTCAACACTGTAAGAGGACGAATCAAAGCTTGCCCCCCAGGTGCTTGATAAGGAGTCAAACCTGGACTGTGTTTTGGCTGTGGGGTCGATTCAGCACCTGCAGAAGGTCCTTCAGCAAATGTGCTAAATGCTGGCTTTTTCACCTCAGCAGCTGGTACTGTTGCCTCAGATATTTTGGGTACCGCCAGCTGCGTGACTGGCCCCTGAGCTGGTGAGCCTCCAGAAAGGTGGGCCTGTGCAGAATATGAAGAAATCGTGGTGACGTGCTGCGAGTAGGAGTACGACGGCATCGCCACCGTCTGAGGTGAGAACCTCGATGCTCTGCCATAAGCTGCACGCTGCGGGTAAGGGGACGCCACATGTTGATAAAGCGGCCTGACGGTGAACCGTGAAGGCTGGTGGACACTGTAGAGGCTGAACGGTGTCTCTGGAGTCCTTGGAGGGGTTGAGTGGTCGCTGTGCTCGAGGTCAGGGCTTGCTTCGTTCACAGGGGAAAGGCTGGAGCGGAAAAGTGCAGCGGACTGTGACGCCTGAGCAGAGGCTTTTTTCTTGGCGCTCCTCTTGAGGAGTTTCTGAAGTCGAACGTTGTCCTTTCCGGGCTTGGGCAGCAGGGGTGGGCGGTACTGCTGGGAGAGCAGGCCCGGCTGGGTGACGGCTCCGTAAGCGACAGCCATGAGCGCTTCAGCACCCTGTGGAGAAAAATAAATAAATGAAAGTTCAGAAAAGGAAAATAGCAAGTCGGGATCAAAGTAGTATGAAAAGTCACTTAAACTCCATCTTTGTTCACTATATCTCAGCTTTTCTTCCACATCATACATCCCTGAATAATACCATTACAGATCTAACAGATCTTTCACTCGTTCTCTTTGACGATTTATCAGGGCGTCGCGTTTATCTTAAAATATAGTACGATGATCTCCTGATATTGGTTTCAGTTCATCCGAAATAAAAAGTCTCAAATTTAAGTGGATGGACTTTATTATGTGTATCTTTAACATTTTCATGTCTTTTGCAGATTTATATGACGATTACTGAGGAGGTCATCGTCTCTTCTTCATCTCACAAAAACATCATAAGGACATCGAACAGAAGCAGCAGTTACAAACTTAATATTTCAGCTCAAGTCCAACAAATTTCATCATCAAATCTCTGCTTTTTATTCCCCGACATTGTTTCTTTTATTGTGTATATATCTGACTGTGAGCTGTTTAATGTTTAATGTACTCTCCTCCTCCTGCAGTATTTAGGTGAATCATTCATAATGTGGTTGATCTTTGATGGTTGATGGTGTGTAGGGAAAGTTTACAATCATGTAGAATTAATGGTTTATGTGACATTATCTGTTCTGCACTTGGCTGAAGATCTGACAGTTAACGTGTGAACGCTGAGTTTATCCAAGATGTACCTAAAAGTCTCAACAACCTGATCTATACAATCAAATCCTTTACGTCTATCAGCTCTGTATCTGTACTACTGTTTCACCTTTAATATCCATTTACTGAGATTCCTGATTGTATGTGTTTATAACCCCTTTTCTTAAATAAATTAAAATAATTTTCTACTTCTGCAGTGCCCTTTTATTTCATTCCTCGTGATTCAAAGTCCCTAGATCAGTGGTTATCAACCTCTTTCCTTTAGGGAACTGGCTATATTTTATAGATATTTTATATTATATTCAGTGGATAACAATAAAGGACAATGAACCCAAACATTGAACACAATAACTGAAGTTTAAGAGGTGGTTTTAAAGCAGTTAGAAAACCCCACACGGATATAATGGAGCTTTTTATAAATCATCCAGCTGAACTCTTCCTGGATGATGTTACCACCTCACAGCTGATCCTGGAAACTCTGACTTGGCCTAATTTTAGTTTGGAGGCAGAGAAGAGGCTGAGCCAATCACCTGCTTCCCTTTTTTAAGACTCCTGGCATTTTACAGGCTGCATCACTTTCCCCTAAAAAACAATAAATCAGAACGCTGTGGATGCGGATCAGACGAAGCCTCTGAAGCTTCAGACCAGTCTATAAACACTGGATACAGATGATTTCATGTTGGCAGCTTTCTCTGTCTTTACAGCTGTTGTGGTTAACAAATGCAAAGTTTAAAGGTTCAATTATGATCCATGCTCAACATGTAAATGATATTTACACAAATCTGTACAAAAAAATACAGTTTAAGGGCTAATTTTGGCAAGAAAATGTCTATTTGTGACTTTATAAACCTTATTATTATGTGTTAATATTATTACTTTGCTTATTACTCCCTGCCAACAGCAATTAATTCAATTCAATTTTTAAAATTTTATTTGTATAGCGCCAATTCATAACAGAAGTTATCTCAGGACACTTTTCAAATAGAGCAGGTCTAGACCGAACTCTTTATAACATTATTTACACTACTAGTTATATTACTCTACTGCTACTCCTCACAAAATTGGTAATTGTGTCCTTTCCCTCCAAAATTTCCATCAAACAATGAATGTTTTAATTCTATTTCATTTTATTTATCTATTTTTTATTTTAATTTTATTTCTATGGTTTTTAGTCTGCTCTTATTATTGTATTATGTATTTATTATTTTTTATATTTATTTATATTTTGTGTATCACAGCTGTTATTCTGTTATTATTATTATTATTATTATTATTATTATTATTATTATATCTTCCAAGCTAGTGATTGGATTGGATTGTTGAATTTTAGGTCAGTTGGTCAGTAACTGTTATATTATTACTCAAATAGTAATTAGTTACATTGCTTGTTACTCACATTTGAGCGCGATGCTACAGGAAAGCTCATTAAACTCAAAAGCGTTCATCCTCTGAGGAGCTGGAATATGATTATAAAGATTTTATTTTGAAGTATAAGTGGAATATTTGTCCCTAATGATGGAAAGAGTCAACAAAAATCATTAGGATTCATCCTCTGGGGACCTTGAACGTCCACAACAAACACGATTGTGGCTCAAGAGTCTGAAACGGCGAGATTATTATTATTTTTTCTAGTTGTTTCATATTAATTTGAACTTCCCTTCAGATACAATTAAAAAAATCATTTTGTTTGGCGGATGTCAATAATGCCTGAAAACGGTTCACTGCGACAAACAAAGATGATATAAAACGATGATATAAACATGAATAGAAACTCCTGTTTGCAGTATGATGTTAATTATGGTAATATTCTGCTTTCTTTAAGGTTCAAGCGTTAAAGCCCGAAGCCAATTTGTGACCTCTACTCTAGAGTCAAGCTCAAAATCAGCCGAATCCATAAATATTAAGTATTTGGTGAAATATGTCACTTTGGATTAAAGTGACCGATACCTCCTTCCTCCTTTGAATCCCGAACCCGTCACATATCACCTTGTTGTGTTATTTTGGAACCGTGTGAGCTTTACAGGCTAAACTTTGCAGTGCAACTTTTGTCAAGTCAGGATCCTCTCGTGTCCCTTCCCACATAAATAACACGCATATAGACAAGTATATATATCTGCTAAGGGTGAAAGTGAACGCACAGCATGTGACCTCATGACATCACAGCCCCATGACATCGGATATTGACTCCGAGAATACCCCAAATCGCACGAGAGGAAAAGAATTTAGCACTAAAAGATGGATTAAAGTTTATTTTTTATTACCCAAAAAAGGTTATTTATTTAAAAATAACTGCATAGGCGACATTTGTGGCTTCAATTAGAACTTAAAATAAGAGTCGGATAAGTTTATGATGAGAGAGGATCCCTGACATCTGTGCAAAACCAACTGTTTAATATCCTCAGTTTACTATGTGTGTCACCTCAGTGAAATGTAGGCCAGAGCTGGTTGTGTTATAAAGCCTCCTTCCCTCCCTCCCCCATCCAACACCCATCCCTCCCCCCCTGAACCTGCTGCCTGCCTGACACATGAGAGCTTGCTCCTCCTTTTAAGGCTCTGGTAGGTTCGGTATTTGGAGCGCCTTCAGGATGCAAGTTCATAAGAGGAAAGGGTAATAATAGCAGTGTAATAAAAACCAAGCAGGTTCCACAATGGCCTCCTTAAGTAAATGAATCCACCCCAAAAAAGTCATTGAGCTGCAGTGAAGTTCGCACACAAACACACAGCAAACAGTGAGATTAGATGGAATAAGAAGGAACATACCAGGTAGTAACTTGTTGCTGATGGTCAAAGCACTCCAGGCGGGTTCCCCTACACAGAACAGGAGAGAACATCGATTCATTATCAAACTTTATTCGACAGAGAACTCAAATGTGATCTTTTAGTATTGCCTCATTGCAGATAAATGACAGGGCAGAGTGTGTTTTGAAAGCCGCAGAGAGTAGAATCAGTGCGAGGCTAACACTTAGCTGGTGCTTTAATGCTGCACTCAGAAACAGCAACCCCACCTTGAGCTTTCCAAACAAACTGATCTCTGGCTGCCCAACGTTTGGGGGGTTCTGCATTCGACAGCAGCTGCCTCCCTGACGCCGCTGCCAGCTTCCCCTGCGCTCTATCTGGAGAATAAAAGGTGTAATTATGGCGTGTTTACCTGTGTGACTGCTGCTCGGGGGGCGGCCGGCCGGCTGCTGCCTGCTTGTCCCAGCCCGGAGTGTCAGAGCGGCAGGTTCATGTTGAGCCCAACTCGACCCCCCTTCCTACAAATGGAAGGAACAGACGCCATGGCAGTCCAAAAATAAATCCTGAGCCCTGTGAGCTGCTCCGAGTGACAGCAGCGTCGTCGTGACAGCAGAGCGAGACGCAGCGCGGAGAGGCCACGGCACCTTAGGTTTCACCACCTCACGGCTCTAAACGTGGGGTCCGAGGGCCACCCAGGGGTCCTTCAAAGATGTGCTAGCGAGCCGGCAGGGGGCTCCACAAAAATGAGATCTGGTTTAATTTTAATTCTGTAGGGGATTTGAGACTTTTAAAGGGTTCCCACTCTTTAGGGGTCTTTCAAAGAGGTCCAAGGACATTGATCTGGGTTCTTGGTGGCACTCTTAGGTGCCACTAACAGGGAACCGGCTAAATTCTGGTTCAGGCAGCAAGTTTTGATCCGTTCGGAGCATTATGACTTCATTTGTTCAGAACCCTAAAAGGTTGTTTCCAGCTGGAACCACAAAATAGCAGGTTTTCCTTGGGACCCAACATTTTAAATACTCCTGGTGTTCATGGGTTCTTCAAAGAGTTCCAACAATATTTATCTGGGTTCTTGGTGGTGCAGACAGGGAAGCAGCTACATTCTGGTTCAGGCACCAAGTTTTGAACCGTTACGACTATTTCGACCAAAGATAATTTAGTTTGGAACCCGAAAAGGTGGTTTTCAGCTGGAACCATAAAATATCCGTTTCTCCTTTGGAACGAAAGTGGGTGTGTCATATTCATATATTCATATATTATATTAATATATTGTGCAACACCCTCTCCTGGTAATGAATCTGATTTCAATGGTTCCACTCAAACCTGCTGGAAACGAAGGCAGGTTCGCTAGATAGTAAAGTTTGAAGAATCCTGAAATCTGTTTACGTCTAAGTCCGATATGACCCGAAAGCAGCATAAAGGTCATGAACAGGCTCCTCAGTATCCTTTAGAGCAGTGGTAGAGTCTAAGACCCCCAAAATGATGCACATCAGACCAGATAAGATTTGATAAGATGTGGTCTCAGGGCTAATCAGTCTGATAATATCTAGTTATTCCATACAGTAAATGTATATAGTGACGATTATGAACTCTATGAACAGAATACTCAATCTTACACACTCTCTCATTGGGATAACCCCCCAGAACCCCCTCTAGGACCCCAGGTTTTGTTTTTGGAGGGGAGATTAAAAAAATTCAAGACTTTAAGCTCTTGTGGGGTTTTCAGGGTTCATCGGGGGTGTCCTGATGTCATATTAAAGTCATAATTATGACTTTTTGACTTCTAAATTACCTTCACATCAACATCGAAGTGGTAAATACACCTAAAAGGTCTAATATATCCATCCTGGCACTTAATATCTAAACAAATATGGATGCTTGACATCAGCCAAAATCCATTGTTTGTGCATTTAAACCCACATTTAAAGGTGAAACCTTGTGGTACTCATGCTCTTATTCTTTGGGGTAGTCGTAGAATATTTGTGGGGACTCTATGGGTTCTTCGTGAGGTTCTAGGGTTCCTTAAGGCAGTTTCAGAGGTGCTCATTAAACTAATTTGTCACTAGAAACATCCTTATTTGAACTGAACTGTCTATGGCACCCAGTGATCCAAGATCCAGGAATCTTTATGAGATGTTGTAAAGGCATTGTGGGATTGAAGGGGTTCTTTAGGGGGGATTCAGAGGTGGGTCTGGCTTTCCAGAAGTCTTTGAAGGTCTTTATGAGGAGTCCTTGAGAGAGTTCCAGGGCATCCTTAAGAGGGTGTACGTAACCCTTGAAAGAAGAACCAGAACCAGGGTGCTGGTAGTTGTCAGTAGTCCCTTTTGTTCTATATGTCCTTGTAGGGGGGGTTATGTGGTCCTTGAGATGTTCCAGCAGATCTACAAAGTGTTTTAGAGATACATCATGGGATTATAGGGATCTATGGGGGTTCTGAATGACCCTTTATGAGGTCACTGACAATATGTCCTGTGCTTAGATGGGGTTTTACAAGTGTTTCTGGAGGTCCCAAGAGATAGTTGGGCTTAGTGTGATTCAGGAGAGCTTTTAGGAAGTCTTGAGGGAGTTTCAGGTCTACTCAAGAGGATTTTAGGGGTCATTTATCGGGTTAAATGGTGTCACAGCAGGTTTGAATAGTTTCTGATGGCCTAACAGTCTTAGACATGATCATCCGTATTTGAGGGCTCTTGGGGTGTCATGGTTCATTTTTGGGGGTTATTGAAAAGATTGTAGTTTTCTTTACTTAATTTGATTCCCATCCTGATGATCCCAATTAGACATTAAAACAAATGTTTGTGGTTTCTTTCACTGATCATCCCAACAGTGTAGACAGGTCAGGTCAACTGTAACAACAATCAACAACAACTAGAGGCCCTCGGCCTGAGGTTTATATTTGACACTCCCACATGTGGGTGACCAAGAGTCTGTGTTTTGTATTGTGTCATTGCAGCACCCCCTAGAGGAAATCTGAAGATCCTTCAGGATCCGAGAGACCACTGAGACTGACACCTGTATCACAGATCCGGCTTATAAATCAAGCTGGGGAGGTTGCTGAATGATTCTTGCTGCAGCTTGTTGAGACTTAAATTGAAAGACATTACTAACAGATAAAACTTATCCCGGAGGGGATTTCTGTGAGTGAGGTAGTTGATTAAACATAATAAAAAAAGATTAATACTAAATGTTCAACAGGGCATTTAAAAGGACAGACATTCATTAGTATAGACTTCATATATTTGATAAAAGACACCGTTAAGTTTACATTTTTACTTCTATGGATTACAATGGGAGGAAAATCAAGCACATACAACACAAAATGTTCACATTTATACTAAATAATTGTTATTGGACGTTTAATTTAGTATTATTGAAGCATATTTTCCCTTAAATTTAGCCTAAAATGAGGAACTATGTTTGTGTCGCGTCTCAGTTGTTGTGTAATGATGATTTTGGTTGTTTTTTAGGGCCTGAATGCCATAAAACATAAACTACTTTTGCCATTCTGGCTGATTCTTTGTTTAGAAGGAACGGATTGAAAACATTCAGGGTTTACAGCTTACAAACACAACTTATTCAGGTTTTCCTGCTCCTGTTGTACATTATGTTTGTATCCCAGGAACACCACCTGCCTCCCTTCCCTGACGTCCAACTCTCCCTCTCACTCTCAGATGAAATTTGCTTGCCTAATGCAGCTGCCCCCAGAATAGCAACCTGGGGGCATCTTGGCTGCCCCTTTCCCTAAACTTGAGCCTCCCTCCTCAACCCTTCCATCTCCTTTTTGAGTGCCAGGAGTGGGAGTGGGGGGCCGATGCCATGGACCCTGCCCCACCACAGGCCCGGCCTTGCCTCCAAGCCAGCTCCTCGGCCAATGGGGAGGCCGAGCGGATCGTGTGTCACTATAACAGAAGGACATAATCAGCGCGGTAAGTTTGCAGAACCTTACAGCCTGTCTCGGCCAGCAGGAAGCTCGCTTCTTTCAGCTTTTCTGAGGTAAGAGAGTGAGAGAGTGTGAGTGCAATGTCCCCCCAAACATCACCCAAACTGAGGACAGCTGAAGTCCACATGTGTTAAAATCACTTGCCACGACTAATAGAGGCTTGCTGCTGAAGGGTCAAAGGCGAGACGGGAGCAGTTTTGTTGAAATACCAGACAGATAGCGGATCCCGGAGGAAGCATGTGATGCTTTTAGCTCAGTGAAATCTAGTTTGTGTTGATGTTTGATTGCAGCTGATGAGTTGTTGGGTTTTCTTGTGTTGTATTTTAACGTAAGCTGAGAAATTAGTTTGTTTTTGGAGTTTGAAATCATGTAAAAACCTTCATCTTGGGGGTGTTGAATGTGAAGTTCTTGCAGGTCATCCGGTGCTTTCTTAAAGGACTCTGTTGTTGTTGTTTCTGTGCCGGGTTGGTCAGAGTCCAGTGACCCGGCGGACGTTCATACCTGAGGGATTTACAGATGGCTTAAAGCCTTTGAAGCAGCTTTCCGCACCCGGGGACAGAAGATGATACTAATGAGTTACGTAACCTTGTGAGAACGGCCGTCGATTGATCGTCTTATTTTTGAGACTTTCTGTGCGTTTGGACTGAACTTGGCCTTACATGTTATAAATTGTTTGGTCCATTAGTGAAGCTGTAAATGGGCGTGGCATGTGCATACATTCAACCGCACATAGCTTGAGGATAAACACTTTAACGTTCTGAACAGGAGCCAAGAAACCTTCCAGACTGGATGCAACCGGTTCAACCATCTCGGTGTTTGAAAACAAATTTGTTCAAGAATTTACAGGGTTCAGAGAACAAATTTGAAGGAAGCCGAGCGTTAGACCTTTAACCTTCACGGCTCGCTTTAGGGTTTATTTTAATTCTTAAAGTGGCCTCAGTCAGCAGGGAGCCTCTGGAAGATGATTGAAGGAACCATGTGAGAGCGAGACGACCAGATAAGGCGATGAAGGTGGAATTAGGGGTGGTGGTTCAGGGGGCAAGGAACCCAATCTTCAACATCGGGTCCACTGAAACCGGATCTGGGACCTGTGCAGCTGTCTGATGGAAATAGTTGTGCGATGTCGGGACGCCTTCATGGTGGCCTAATGAGGCTAATGGGCAACTAATCTGACATCTAACCACTGAGAGGTTAAATTATGTATAAATCCAAGTCACGTGTGTTAGAAAAGTTTAAATTTAAGACTTTTTAAGAAGGTTACTGATGCAGTTCAAGGTATTTTACATCCATACTGGCAAAAAAACACAAAGAATATGAAGGTATTGGTTTGGTTTTGTAATTACAGCAAGTTTTCCCCAAAAAACACATTTAATAGCAGGACTGAAGGTTTTTAATCACCTGTTTTAAGACATTTTAGGATCAGATTATTGGATTTTAGACCTTTTTAAAACCCCTGTCCCCCCTATCACTCAGCTTTATTTACAGCAGGATAATATGTTGAAGGTGATTTGACAGACTTGACAGACTTTGCTAGAAGCTGTTAAAATGTGTTTCTAAAGATAAAAAGTCTTTATCGCCTATATTGAGCCAAATGGACGCATAGTGAT